CTTGTCGTGCGTGAACTGCTGAAATGTGCAAGACAAAAGCTCTCTTAGAGTGTCATGTAGACGAGAGAGTGCAGAAAAAGGGAAATCGCAACAGTCATAGTGATTAAGTTCAAGTGGTCCGTAGACCATATTTGACCTCTAGATCATGGTAAGCTGTAACATTCGTCACGACACCACTCACAAACATTTTCATCTTACCATTAGAGATGGTGATAAATCATGTAGAATGCCGTGCGAAATAGAGCATGATAAAATGTGCCGGCACACGAGGTTTCGGTATCATTAGACCTCTATATCGGCACACTGTATCATGCTTAGAATAGATTATTTGGGATTTGTTTGTTGTTGTGTCCTGTTGATCACAGAGAGGACTGCTTTTTGTGAGTTCGTAACATTCAGTTGTCCCTGGATCCTCGTTGGGAAACCTGGCCGTCGAGTGCACCATCTTCAGTTCTTGGTCAGTGGACAGCACGCAATATAACCAGATTGTTGGATCTAATTTCTAGAACGGATATGAAGTGAGTCCTGATCCACTATATTCTTGATTTTTACTTCTATATAATTTTAGATCAGATAATTTGGTTCGCTTCAGGAGTGGTGTTGACATGTGCACTGTATGGTCGAAGCTGATGTCTTTAGCAGCATCCCTTGGTCGTATGGGTCTAGATTTTCGCTCTCTGGTGGTGAACTCTTTGGTGAAAGTATCTCTAGAGCGCTTTACTTCAGCTGTTCGAACGGCTACAAACAAGTGAGTGTATAATCTGCTCAGAAATCGTATACTGTGTGGGGCAAACTGTCTTTCATATCAGATCAGGTGAGCTGGACCATCCTATACTACACATTAATGTTCGAATTTTGCTTGATGTTGACAACTCTGAATGGAATTTTTCTTCCCACATTGTTTTCTAAACATAATAGTCGCTACACCGCTAGACATATCATCGCTGAGGAACAGATAAATTGCCCATTAAAGGCAGTTGCCACGAAAATATGGTACTCTGTCTGAAATGCTAGCGTAGGGTGTACACAGTGGGGAAAATGCGAAAAACGAGGGGAAGCGGTTCAAAAAAGGCCGGAAGAAACCTTCAGTCTTCATAACTCAGAACAAAGAAATTTCCGTATCCGAGCGGTCCCTTTGGCAATCGTGCGGAGTGTAGTACTGTACTAGTTAGTACTGGCTGCCACTTTATGTACTTGTATGCCATGCAGCACTGCGGCCGCTTCATGTCAATTCGTCCGCTTCATATTTTACTTCGCAAATGAAGTAGTGCGTGCATCGAGTACGGTCGTCCATTTGTGGGTGGACGGGCGCGGTAGGCGTCTTGGTCGGTACGTTGTTGCCTGATAGGGCCTTGTAAGGTCTCTCCTTGGAATAGGCGCCGTGCAGCGCCTGCTCAGGGGCGCGGAATTTCGTCCTGCTAGGCGTGTTAATTCTACTCTTAGGGACTTATTGTGCCATCTACCTTCAAGAGAACTGTACTAGCTTCTTGCCATCAGCATTGTTTTGGCATGGTTTATAACAACCTATAGTGGTTAACTGTATGTGAATGAAGCATGACTTGGGAAAGAGTCTGTAACCGTAAGGGGCTACACTTTTTCATTTATATGAAAACATTAAAGGCAGCGTCCGCGATCAACCAAGGTGAAGAAACCCTGTACTGTACAAGATCGCGGAGTCCGCAACCACAGAGGATATCCCACTCCTGGGACTCGAAATCGATTGATAGACGAAGGCGGAGTCAACAATGATAAGCTGACTCCGCCTGTCGTGTTAATCCCGCCTCGATTGGTTTTCCATTATCAATCCTCGCTGGCATTGATAATCGCTAAATTTCTAGCGTTCGTTTCGTACAGTGATAGAGAGATACTCATAGATAGATTAGTTTAGATAAGATAATCTAGGTAGTGGCCTCATGAGAATAGCCGCAACGAGGCGGCGACGTGTTTTGGAGAACTCACCCAAAATCTGCGAAACTCGTCCAGATGCGTCCGATCGAACAGGGTCTTATTCTATGTTCTTGCGGCGCTTTTTGTTTACTTTTTTTGATTAATGCTTTAGTTGCCACATGTTCTAACATTCTGAGCCCTACACCTGCCAAAATCGATCGCGGGCGCTGTCTCTAATAGAAACAACAGTACTTGCATGTTGTGGTAACTAATGTCATGCCTATTCTCAGAGAATTTTTTTCAAATTTCAGGTTCCTCAATGAAACAAAAGTGTTGTCCGTGTCTAGCGGAGAACTTTCATCGCTATCCGACCGTGGAGCACCAACCAGTGGCCCACCGCAACCATCTCCAGAGATTTCCATGTGGGACGACATATGTGTCTATGGGAACGCTATTCTTGAAGCTCTCAATAATCTTCGCTACACTCCAAGTCCCATGCTCGTTAGTTTGTTTATAAACTTTGGGTAATCTTGTCTTTACAAAGGGACTAGTGCTGGAATGTGTGTCAAGGACTCGCAAGCGCGGCCAACCTGAGAGCGTAAGAGTGTGGTCATCGGGTTTCTAGTGGTAAGGTATGTACATATTACGAATTTGGGCGTAGTTCAGATTGGTGGGGGCCAAATGCAGATCAGTCATGTTTGTATAGGCTACTTCGTGAAGACCCGTGATTTCCTGTGATCCAGGTCACAAGTGTTTACAGGTCTCATCAAAGTGAAAACGCGAAACCTGTTAGTTAACATTGACTAGCAAAAAGAACTGGCGGCGGCAAAATCTTCTCTACCCCCCCCCCCCACCCCATCTCC